ATATCTTTGGTCTTCAAACAACACAATTTTCATTTACATGGCACTTGATGGTAGAAGTGTCCTCACAAAGCATGCCAGCTGGTTGATCGATAGTTGGGACACCAATGTATGGTTTGACCCAATTGGGATATATATTCTTCAAACACGAACGTTTGGCATGCGTGCCACTTAAAGCCAAGGACACTTTCACATTCAACTGACATGCTACTTTAATGCTAAACTTAAGACCTACTGACTTGTGGTTACAATTCTATGAATACCGTAAGTTTGAATACCTGACGATGTGAAACTTTCGCTCTTTACTTTTGATCAGTTTCTTCAAAAAAGCAAACTGCTGGACAAAAGAAAGAATGTACTTTCCAATAGGATTTGACCAAAATATTTTTAACGCTATGAAAACGTTACTAGGCTTAAAACGGTCGCCGAAACACTTCAAATTTAAGGTCCAAAACATGACTAAGATACCCGTATCGAATACATCGCCATCGATTAACCATTTCTTGTTTGTCATTTTTAGAACCATCAAACATGGGTGTCGATCGGTGTATACTACCGATCGATTTTGTTGACATGTTCACGATATTATCATAAGGGAAAATATAATGAATATGAATAATGATGCACTTCTCGACGTGCAACCTGGGACTATGATCTATATTACTAATGATGATTTTAATGTCTTTGATTGTTTTCTTTTCGAGAGGATGTTATTTGACAATGATGGCTCTACAAACGGTTATATAGCTAACGACGATCGTGAACTGTGCACAGTATGACATTGATAAGAACATTCCATTCTTGCTTAGGCCCTCTTATGAGAACCGATAACAAACGTCCTGCCCTTGAGGCTTTCTGATAACAGTCATACAGAAGTGGTACCCTATTGCACTCTCCGAGTCTAGCTCAAGTTACATACCACGACTTCATCAGTGATAAAAAATGAACTCATAAATCAGAAACATTCATTTCGAAAAAAACATGATTGCGTTATGACGACAGTGAATTATTGCATTCAACGTATGCATGAATTACTTACTAATAAATGATTCCACCATACTACTACTAAATAATCACCCTGTTATCACAGAGGATACGGGGCGGTCGGGTAGCCTAGTGGTTAAAGCGTTAGCTCGTCACGCCGAAGACCCGGGTTCGATTCCCGACATGGGTACAATGTGTGAAGCCCATTTCTGGTGTCCCCCGCCGTGATATTGCTGGAATATTGCTAAAAGCGGCGTAAAACCATACTCACTCACTCACTCACTGAGGATACCATTTTCATTGGATAACTCATTCCCTTAAAAAAATAAATTTATATCGGCATGTCAATCCACGGTAATCCTGACAAAAGTGCTTCAAAAGCATAAATGTGTTTTTACTTTTCTTTATAACGAAAGGCTAGCAGTAAATAACAAGCACGTTGCGAACCCGGAATCAGGTAACACAACATATCGATTGAGACTGTGTAACTTTAATTTCCTTGCTGAAACGTACACCTGATCGCCTCTTCTGTATAATGCATACCCAATGCAGTCCACGCATGCGGCATACGCCAACATGCAAATGCTACATGTCTTATAATGTTAGACGTGCAGGGTTTAGCGTTACGACCGTTGTTAGGCTATGTTATACCATGGGACTTACAAACACCTTAACGCTATGCAAATCCCTTGAACACCACCTCTCACTCCGACATGTCCGCCAGGGAAACGCATGAATTGTGGATATTTTTATCACTACCATGAGGAAATATCTATTTTTGGTTTCCATATAATTTGTCTCAATGCGCTCCGATAGTGTATTGTCCGTCAGAGAGCTAATTGTATTAATATTACGTAGTGTTTATTTAGTTATTGGACTTACATGCAGGCAAGAAAAAGAGTCAAAATAAGTGATATACACAAGTGGGTGAGTGAGTATGGTTTTACGCCGCTTTTAGTAATATTCCAGCAATAGCACTGCAGAGGACACCAGAAATGGGCTTCACACATTGTACACATGTAGTGAATCGAACCCGGGTCTTCGGCGTGACGAGCGAACGCTTAAACCACTAGGCTACCCCATCGCCGCAGAGCGGGGGAAAAGCCCGAAATGACGCAGCCACAGATCTTTACATAAATATCATAACTAGTTACATTTCAATCTACAATCATATGTGCTCTATTCATTGGACATGATTCATTACATATAGGTATAGTTTTATTTGGATAACAATATGTATCAGTACAGAGTCACCTTTAATTGGTGACGTATCATTCAAGCCCTACATTGTGACCATCCGATCCTCAATTCCGTAACCTCTCACGACAAACATGGATGCTGAGGACCATTTCTACAGGAAACCACGGCATATTGGTCGCGTCATTCCGGTGGATCTCTCTGGTAGAGAAAATCAAACATGTCTGTATGTTTGCCTCAAAGGCAGCGAAGACGATTAATGAGTCTGTCTGATAATATTCGAGCTATATCACCGAGGCATTTACACAAAGCGGGCTAGAAAAAACAGTTGATGACAGCTTGAGCAACGACCAACGTTGGAGGGGGACCATCGCCACCATGACACACACGTAATCACCCGAGGGGTAAGATGACGAAAAAAAGGGCAGGAATATTTACTAAATCCGCTGTTTGTTTGTTTGTTGTTTAACGTCACACTCACACTAGCAATGTTCCAGCTATATGACGGCGGCCTGTAATAATCAAGTCTGGACCAGACAGCTAGTGAGGTGAGGTGAGGTGAGGTGAGGTGAGGTGAGGTGAAATGGGGTTTAACTTCGCGTTCTAGATTATTACACTCATATAGCGACGTGCATGCACGTGTGTGTGAGTAACTGATTGTACTAGTCCGGACTAATGCCTATTTTATAGTGCTAGCCCACTGAGGTACCATGCCGCAGTTTAACATGAAAACCCCACTCAGACACAGTATACTGACTACGAGCCGACCTGTCCTTGTTTTAGCCCCTTAACGCCGAGCGCCAGGCAGGGTAACAACACGTACTATCGTTAAACGTAATTGGTATGACGCGGCCGGAGATCGAACCTCGGACCTTTCACTCTCCGGGCGGACGCTCAACCACTAGACCACGGAAGCAGTAATTCAATGTGATTTATTGCTAAATTGTTATGTAGAAGCACTCAAACATCACTGGTTAATATTCATCAGAAGACATCCACCAGTAAACACATTAATGACTGTGTATTTGATTGGAGAAGTCAATACACATTTAACAATGGTCTAGTTATTTTCGATGTATATATCTAACAGAGCGAGAAAGACCATGAACTTTCAGCATGCCGAATCGGCATTGAGTGGATATGACAATTCAGGGTCGGTTTGCATTTGAAATGGCGAAAAATGCTATTTGCACGTATGCATAAAATTAGCCTCTCTTACAGAAGCTTTAGCATTTTAAAGGTACAACAATCCCATCCCCACCCTCGTCCCACCCCATTCTAATTAATTTCTGATTCCCCGTCCTTTAAGAATACATTCCTTCAGAGTCTACTCAGGTATCGGTATACTGATGAGGTATTGTTGAGAACTATTTGATTTTTGTTTGTTTGTTGTTCAACGCCGCACTCAGCAATATTCCAGATATATGACGGCGGTATGTTAATAATCGAGTATGAACCACACAACCTATGATTGACATCATAAGCATCGAGCCACGCAATTGGGAAACGATGACATGCATCAATCAAGTCAGCAAGCCTGACCACCCGATCCCGTTTGTCGCCTCTTAAGACAAGCACTGACGCCTTTTACGGCAAGCTAGGGTTGCTGAAGACCTATTCTAATACGGATCTTCACGGGTTTTAACACTATTTGAAATAATGCTAAAAAAATATTTTCCAGGAATTAACAAATCAAAACATTAATTTTGTCTGTGATGAAACCCCACATCCCTACATTAAAATACTAGTTAATTTCATCCAATAAATACACCCTATATAACTACAGATGTATGATGTTTCATTGTTTAAGTTTAAGTTTAAGTTTAATCAAATCGAACAATTGTATTGATACGTTGCGGTCTTCAATTTAAAACTCGAAGAAATGACATATCCAGTGTTCGAAATACCTGCCTGCCCGACCGTCCGAGACGGGTTGATTTCAACTCGGGCTGCCAGATTTTCAAATCCCCCTGCCCGACGGTCGGGTTATATTTCATATGTGAAAATATTCTAAATATTTCCCGATGATAAGCATTAATTCACATGTAAAGATGAATGATAAAATGTAACCAAAAAGAAACCCCGTTAGCTTATCCTGAGAAACATATGATTATAGTGGGCAGGCAGGTTTTGGTCAGGGCTGCAAGTATTTCAGCTAGCCAGTCCTGTGGTCTGGCTGAAATTTTTGGGAGTTTCATACCCTGACATATCGCAGAGAATATCAAGCACTGCCTTACCTTCGTGTCTGCAACACCATCAGTATTTGGCGACACCGGGATCATTGCATCCGAATGGTTAACTGAGATCCCAGCTCACAATCCCTCTATACAGCTCATGTCTGGGTATCAATACATATCCCGGTGAGAAAACACTAAATCTCTGAAATTGTTCCACGAATGATCACAAAATCAGCGCTAGTATCGATCTGGAAGCTGGTAATAGTTAGCCGAGTCACCTGCCTGTGAGTTTGTCAGTGTAACATGTTAATATTTCAAACCTTGAAATAGTTAACTAACAGTCAGGGGCGGTATTCATAAAAGAACTTAAGTCTGAAAAAAAACTTAAGTCTTGAAAAAAACTAAGTTTTTTACCTTTTCTGACTTAAGTTTTAAGATTTTATTTAAGTCATATTCATGAAGCAACTTAGGCTTAAGTTTTACCAATTTCTGACTTAAATCTTAAGACTGGGTAGGGGTAGGTTTAACTACAAGGTGTTTGACTTAAGTCAGTAAACAAAATGGCTGCCGTACCGCTAGGTCGTCGTTCGTTTCATCAAAGAAGACAAAGTCTTGTTGAATACAACGATGATGAGTTGATACGGCGATACCGTTTAGATGGAAATGGCATTAGGTACGTAGCTAATTTAATAGCAGCTGACGTGGAGCCTGCAACCAACCGTAACCACGCACTTGACGAGATACAAAAGACGCTGATCACATTAAGGTACTTTGCAACGGGAAAGTTTCAGTTGTGTAATGCAGATGATCAAGGTGTCACCCAGCCCACCATTTCCAGAGTTGTAAATCAGTGTATCACCAGTTTGTCATCTGAAAGGATTGTTAAACAGTTTGTCCGCTTCCCCCTGCAACTCGGGGACATTAGGCGTCACCAAACAAACTTTTATCATATTGCGAACTTTCCCGGAGTTGTCGGGGTGATCGATGGAACCCACGTACAAATCCAGGCACCAACAGTAAACGAAAATGAATTCGTAAACCGACATCACTATCACAGCATAAATACGCAGATCGCTTTTGACAGCGACGACAGAGTCATTGACGTTGTTGCTCGGTGGCCGGGATCGACACACGATTCACGCATGTTGACAAACAGCGGGCTCTACCAGCTTTTCGAGCGCAATGTTCTCCCCATCGGATGTCACCTCCTCGGTGACAGTGGTTATCCCTGCAAGAAGTGGCTGCTTACCCCTTTCCTAAGACCATTGCCGGGACCACAAACAAACTACAACAGGTATGTAAAGTTTCGTGTTACGTTGCCGATCGTATTTAACAACTTAGAGTGATGTCCCTTGTATTTACCTCGATTACATATTTGCCCATTGCACAAACGCAATATTTGGTCTGGATAATCGAAGCAATTACAAAAACATTCTTAATAAAATACGGAATATTATTCACACCATAACCATATGTTTTTATTTCAAAATCTATTATTATGTCTTTGTTAGTTGTTCTAAATGTACAAGTAATTATGTGCTGTTTTGGTTAACATGCTGAATATTTGTGGTAATTAGGAATATTTTTTTTAAACATTACCAGTATGAATTTCCTACATAATCCAAAGTGTAAATTATTGTTTTCACATGATCAAAATTATTTCTTCAACAAGTGACATTTATCAATAAAAAGATAAATATATATTTCTTAAACCCTGTTGAAGATTAATGTTACAGGTTACACTCTGATATGTTATGTTTTTTTCAGGTCACACAAAAGAACCAGGAGCATAGTAGAAAGGGCCATCGGTCAACTGAAACGCAGATTTCCTGTTCTCCATGGGGAAATCAGGTTAAAACCTGAGAAGGCTTGTAAGGTAAAAATTATGATCAACAAATGTTAATTTGTGTGCACTATTTATTTGCCACACAAATAAGTTCAACAGAACAAAAATGTAACAAAGCTAAATGACAATAAATATATAAAATAACAATTCCTAGAGAGGAAAGCAATGATTGAAAAAAGCAACAAGATTTTATTGAGTTACATAATTATTTCAAACATGGTTGTTTGAATTTATGTTAACAAATGCCATTGAGAATATGAAAACAACAATGCAGTGGCTCATCATCTATTAAAGTTTGTACATGGACATGAACTTGTTCAGATTGACTTGTATCTAAATCAAGTGAATATATATACAGTTTTGTATTTAAGGCAATAACAGGGCAGTTGTAGATTGGTAATGACTAGGAGCAGATAAGGGAAAATTCATAAATATTTGAAGTATAGAATTGTTAATGTGCATGTGGAGATGATCAGGAAATGATGGGGTTGTATGAACTTATTCGTTATTTACATTAACATTTGTATGTTCAACTGAGGCCATGTAAAAGCCTAAATGTTAAGTGTAATGATGTTAATTTATCATTAATGATTTCATATTTTAGGTGATAATAGCATGTGCTGTCCTACACAACATATGCAAGGACAGACATATCCCAGTTCCACCCACTGATGGGCATGATGGACTTGGCAGGCTTGATGGGCAGAATGGAGCTCAAGCAGTGACTGCTCCACCAGTAGCTGCACTCAGATACCGGGAGCACTTTGCCAATACCAACTTTCCATGTAAGATTATTTTATTTTAATTTTCAACATTTCCTCATAATAAATCCAATTTGTATCAGCAGTACATTCTTTGCAAAGTATCTTTAGTTTTTAATCATCTTAATTATCCCTCACCCTCTTAAATATGCAATATTCTAAATGCAATGTACTCTTTATGAAAAATGTTCCACAATGTTCTTTCTACCAGAATCTGTTGTATCATAACATTTGGCTTAGTATGTATTGTGACATTTAATATTCAAATATATAAATAATTCTTTAATGCCCAAACAACATGTATGATACTTTTAGCTAATTCAGTTTCGTGATTTTCAATTTAAGGTATTCCTTTTTCAAAGTGAGGCATTCAATTTCAAGATTTAATTTTTGCTTCAACAGAGTTTCCACGGTTGGTGAAGTGAGGGACCCTGTGACATCTGGCTCCTTAGAATACATGTTGGCTCCTTCTGGTTGAGGATGTGGATCTGACATGGCAGTGTCATAAATCTCCCTGAAACAGAAAATATTAAAGTTTTAATTGTAATTTTCACATAATGTTCTTTTCAATTTCAACAAGCCTGTTGTTTTGTGTTATTATAATGAGAACATTTACATTTATAATCATATCACAATTGTTTAAATAACAATTGACTTAATTTGTGCACAATTGAGGTGTTGATATTATATAAAAAAATATACATTTATACTAAGTTTTCAAATAATAATTAGGTCCACAGCAAGTGGTTTTATAAGTTATTCATGGTGCAACATTTATACAAAATTTCATGTGATTACAGAACAGCAAGCTATACATATTAGGATCCAGGGAAAATGCAAATATTAGTAGTTTCAGTTAAAACTTTTTAGATAGATGCTAGCCTAGCTAAGGTAACATGAACCTATCTCCCAGACATACTATTCAACAAGACAAAAGTTATGTATACATGGTTTTATAGATTCAAAGCTTTTAGATAAAAACTAGCCAAAGGTAACAAGATCCCATCTCCCAGACATAATATCTAATAAGACAAAAGATAGTGTTATAGATTGCCTTGAACTATTTTATTTAAGCAAATCTGTCATCACCTATACTAGAATAACATTCAGAAAATACTTCAATTTGGACTCATTAAGGATAAGCCATATACAAGCTCGTCTATAGTGATACCATAATCTCTTTCCAAGCACCCAGTATTTATGTCAGAACAGAACCATGATAATTTTCTAACCCGAAAGGTATCTCATATCATTGATGTACCTGTCAGTAGGTGGCATCAGATCCAGCACCTGCAGCATTGTCGTGTCACACAGTAAGGGTCACGTTGTCCTGGCCTAAGATATCAATGACTGCATTGGTCACTGGGCTGATTGGTGCTGGTGCTGGTGCTGGTGCTGGTGCTGGTCCACCTGTATAAACATTTAATTACAAACTGTAATTTTTTATATCGTTTAAAATTTTATTATATATGTTCGTTAATGGAAGGGATAAGATAATGAAATTTCTAATCATCATCATTATCTAAATGTATTTTGGAAATAATATTCTTCATACAAAAATACACAGAACATTATGATTGATAATTGATCTATTGGTAATACCGTATTTATAATGACCATTGATAGAAGAGTTGTCATGCAATAACCCTGACTTGTATACAGTATGTATGAAGGGAAGAAAAGTACTTGCCAGTTCCTTTTGTCAGTTTCCCAAATTCGGAGTACTTGTGTTTTGCCTGGCTTTTCACATTCTTCCATTTTTTTTCCACCTCTTCCTTTGTTCTCGGGTGTGAACCAGAGGAATTGAGGGTAGCTGTAATAACCTGTAGAGTTAAGGGAAAGTAGTAAGTGTCTTACAATTGTGGAAATATGAAGATAATAAGGGGCCAAACATTTTGTGAGGGTGCTGAGATTATATTAAAAAAGTAGTCTGATCCCAAATATATATAAAAAATATTTTTCTCAAGTTAATTTATTCAGCCGACAATTAAGATGTTAATATTTTGGATATCACTTCAAGATTTCATATTTAGCCCAAAGTCTGCTGCAAGGGCACTGTCAGTAACAAAACTCAAATTGGAAATAACAAATGTCCCAGTTTATGATAGTAATAGAATATGTTATGGCTATAGCAGAGGTGACTTAAATTCCACTGATAACAGGACCAATCCCCAATAGTGATGATTTCATGCTCAGTGGTAGAATGTTGCATTAAATCTACATGCAGTGGTAAATCATGCATTTATAATCGCTTGATTGGCGTACTAATATATCTCGGATAAGTTAAATTAGTAGATGTTCACTGCTAAAATATAACTTTATAAAACTCATGTCTGGTGTAAATACTACATTTGTGTACAACGACTGCCCGAGTGACAGACAACGATAAGTGTCACTGTACCTGCCACGCCTCTTGACGCCTCGCCGATGTCACGCCCGGACCAAACTTTCCTTCCAACACATGTACATTTGCTTTCACTAGTTCCGTCAACAGTAAAACCTCCTCTTTCGTCCAGTTAGGCTTCCTCTTCTTCATATCTGCCTCTGACATGACGTTGGCAATGTGGACAAAGTTTCGCTGTGTGTGTCGTCTGCCGTAAATAGCAACCGGGAAATCCCACCGAAAAAGACGTTCACACCTTTTTTTTTAAAGAGTTCCACCGGAAGTTTAAAAATAGCCGGGATTCCCCCTAGTGATCACGCGGGTACGTACTACGAAACTGACTTAGTTTTTCTTTTGAGACTTAGCTAAGTTTCGGACTTAGCATCTTTATGAATATCAAGTTAAGTCTCAGACTTAGCTAAGTCAGATTTCTAAAACTTAAGTTAAGACTTAAGAAAAATCTTAGTTTCTTTATGAATACCGCCCCAGGTGGAGAAAGCCTGTCTGCTGACTATCAGTGGTGTACGGAGCCAGGTGTGACGTCACAGCACGTGCACGGTTAGAAGCAGACGACACTGCAGGAGAGTTCACGCACGAGTCGGTTGTTATCAACCAACCAGAACTGTTGAAAAGAATGAACGGAATGTTTATGTCAAATGCTTTAAGCCGTGCTTGGTGAATTTAGATTAATGATAAGCATAGATTATAGTATGCTTATTTGTAAGACATTAAAAGCCAGACACGTCAGGCATAAAGTCTTTAACAAGGAAACCAAGCAACGGTGTTGATTATGAAATATGAGAATCTTTTGACTTCAAGTGGATGTATTTAAAGTAATACACGTGTGGCCATTGAAAATAGACGAACAGCAGGTGTAAGAAATGAGCTAGCTTAAAATGAACCATCGCTTCGACCGCAACACGATTGACCAACACGATTCCCAATAATTATCCTTTTGAGAAAACAGAAACAACAATGTGTCCTTAACTCTCAATCACAACACTAGGTTTATAATAGAACCTCTAGAAACACAACCCCAAGGACAAAACGATCCCATCTCCCGATTACAGGTAAACGATTTCCTCAAAATCAGGTAGGAATCATTGTCTCCAGATGGAATGAATGACCATTAATGGCTCTCTGTCAGTCACGGACTGCAGGGAGGCGCGTTGAACGCGGGACACAATGGGGAGGCACCGATATCCCCCGGACGGACGCCAGCCCTCGATAAAGACAGGTAGTAGATTAAGAAATTATCGATCTATCGTATTATTGATTTCGCTTTTGTCACTTATCTCCCAGGTCCCTAGGTACAAGTTCTAGAAAGCCGATCGTTATCCCAATGGCATAAATGCCGAGTTAACGATTTCTCCGGTTGGATTACAGTTCATAAATGGCCATTTCATTGATGGAAAGTTATCGGGATGGCGTAAAGGAAATATCATGTTTGGATTTGAACCTGTGGTATTTTCTTAGAGTTTCTGTTGCTTTTTTGGAAAATGCTCGCCACACCCAATAACTCACGGTTCGATATCGATCTCCTTACAAACATTCTGATTAGTGTGGATCTCAGGAGAGACTCCATACAGCTTGATTTCAAAAGCGTTCATTAATGCCAACGGTAATCAGAGAATAATGAGTGGAATTAAGACGCCATCGGCAATGGTTTGGACATTAGGGCCACGTTCGACACACTCGGGACAAGTTCCCATGGATGAAATAACAACTGTTTGCGTTGTGCGACACTTCGGATTAAATCTGAAGACCAAGAAAAATAACATTTTTGCTTTGTTTTTATAGGTTAAGTGAGTGAGTGATATTGGGTTTAACACCGCTTTAAACGGTACTTCAGTTATATGATTGCATGTCAGTTTTATTTAGGAGAAGAATCTAAAATGGCACAAGTCATAGACGTTTACTGATTGGATGAAACCGACAATGGTGACCACAGTTCAGTCGATTCTGGGATTCGAACCCACGACCACCGGATCTTGCGCCCGGAACACGAAATGGCGTGGTGTAATAAGGTAACATGGGCCGGTTTTGGTGAAACTCATGAGCACGTGTATGGTGCTGATAAAACAAGGATCATTATCTCTGCTAACTTTGAATTCGGGGTAATAGGATCCAGACAAAGCGAAGGGACGCAACTCTGCAAAGTGAATTACAGCGTTATCGGGAACTGGTCTAGTCATGCCCCTGGTGGAACAGGAGTATACCACACTCGTGGATAATAAACACTGTATGAAAGTGTTGTTCTGCAGACAAGCTTACGGCGGGTTTGTATATTTTTACCTTGGGATATGAAGTAGATTTACTGACGGTTATAAATGCACAAATAAATGGCAATTTTACTCCGTTATCCGCACCGCGTTGGCGTGAATGAAAATCCGTGGTTTTTGGGTCGATACCCACAATATAATACATGGATATCATAAAGATGACGACCGCCTCCATGGTCTAGTTGTAGAGCGTCCGCCCGGAGAGCGAAAGGGCCGGGGTTCTATCCGTGCCTGCGACATACCAAAAGACGTTAAAAGATGGCACTTGTTGTTACCCTGCCTGGCACTCAGCATAAAGGGGCCAAAACAAGGACTGGTCGGCTACACACACACACACACACACACACACACACACACACACACACACACATGCACGTATCTATGTAAGTACAATAATTTTGGACGCGACGCTAAACCCAATTTCACCTCACCTATAAAGATGTTTTTCTGGTAATCCGATAACGAGAAAGTTTTCCACGTAACACAATGTTGCTTAGTAACACATTTTATAACATAACGTCGTTTCCCTTTGCCTTATATCCAAACTGATTCCATAGAGATGACTGGACGGCTGAATCAATGCGAAATAGTTTGTAAATTAGTTTGTTAACTCAGCATGATAACATACAAGGTTGTCCTTGCCGGCAGATAATCAACCAGGACTCACTTCATTAATAATCAACTTCCAAATACATCTGTGGTTCTGTTTCAGACCAATGTTCCATAAACGTCACACTGAAGGTCACAGCCTCCACAGATATGACCGTTCACCTGACAACCTCCATCATGACGCCGAATCTTGTATCTACAAACATGAAGCTAAACTAACTACCCGAATCATGACCAATACAACCTCCAGTTATAGAACACCATTCGCACAACCTCCAGTTATATTACACCATTCGCACAACCTCCAGTTATATAACACCATTCGCACTACTTTCGGTTATATAACACCATTCCCACTACTTCCGGTTATATAACACCATTCGCACAACATCCAGTTATATAACACCATTCCCTCAACCTCCAGTTATATAACACCATTCCAAAAACCTCCAGTTATATAACGCCATTCCAAAAACCTCCAGTTATATAACACCATTCCAAAAACCTCCAGTTATATAACACCATTCGCACAACATCCAGAAATATAATACCATTCGCACAACTTCCAGTTATATCAAACCATTCGTACAACTTCCATTGATATAACACCATTCCCACAACCTCCAGTTATATAACATCATTCGCACAACCTCCAGTTATATAACACCATTCGTACAACCTCCAGTTATATAACACCATTCGTACAACCTCCAGTTATATAACACCATTCGCACAACTTCCAGTTATATAACATCATTCGCACAACCTCCAGTTATATAACACCATTCGTACAACCTCCAGTTATATAACACCATTCGTACAACCTCCAGTTATATAACACCATTCGTACAACTTCCAGTTATATAACACCATTCGTACAACTTCCAGTTATATAACACCATTCGTACAACTTCCAGTTATATAACACCATTCGTACAACCTCCAGTTATATAACACCATTCGTACAACCTCCAGTTATATAACACCATTCGTACAACCTCCAGTTATATAACACCATTCGTACAACCTCCAGTTATATAACACCATTCCCTCAACCTCCAGTTATATAACACCATTCCAAAAACCTCCAGTTATATAACACCATTCGCACAACCTCCAGTTATATAACACCATTCCAAAAACCTCCAGTTATATAACACCATTCGCACAACATCCAGAAATATAATACCATTCGCACAACTTCCAGTTAAATCAAACCATTCGTACAACTTCCATTGATATAACACCATTCCCACAACCTCCAGTTATATAACATCATTCGCACAACCTCCAGTTATATAACACTATTCGTACAACCTCCAGTTATATAACACCATTCGTACAACCTCCAGTTATATAACACCATTCGTACAACCTCCAGTTATATAACACCATTCGTACAACTTCCAGTTATATAACACCATTCGTACAACCTCCAGTTATATAACACCATTCGTACAACCTCCAGTTATATAACACCATTCGTACAACCTCCAGTTATATAACACTATTCCCACAACCTCCAGACATATAACACCATTCGCACAACCGCCAGTTATATAACACCATTCGCACAACTTTCAGAGATACAACACTATTCGCACAACATCCAGTTATTTAACATCATTCGCACAACTTCTTGTTATGTGACCCGTGAAGAATCCGGGGTAGAATAGGTCTTTAGCAACCCATGCTTGTCGTAAAAGTTGACTATGCTTGTCGTAAAAAGGCGACAAACGGGATCGGGTGGTCAGGCTCGCTGACTTGGTTGATGCATGTCATCGATCCCAACTGCGTGGATCGATGCTCATGATATTAATCACTAGATTGTGTGGTCCAGACTCGATTGTTTACAGACCGCCGTCATAAAGCTGTAATATTGCTGAGTGCGGCGTTAAACAACAAACCAACCAACCAACAAACTAACCAACTTCTTGTTATGTAACACTATTCACAAAACTAACAGACATGTAACACCATTCGCACAACCTCTAGTTATATAACACCATTTCCACAACTTCCAGACATATGATACCTTTCGCATTGCCTTTAGAAACATAACACTTTAATCTACACAATCAAGCAAGACTAAGACCAGTTTCTTGTGTGTCATAAGACCACAATCCAGCGCATATAGAGAAAAACAGCCATTCCTCTTCCGTCGCCATGTTGACCTAATCACCCAGTTGATTCCACCCCGCAGTATTGATCCGCGGATGAAAATAATCCCCCCTCTTTGTCTTCCAGGGAGGTATATGAAGGAAGTAGGGTACTAGACTGGGTTTGTCTCCGAGGGAGCTGTGTCCTGTACAGTGCCCAACACGATGAAAAACTCAATCACGGCCCGCCATCGTCAGCACACGGTGTATACATGCTGGAATGAGATATGCAGATACCGCTTCATGTCACGCAAGTCATCAATACATGTTTAATATACTTGAGCCACAAAATAATGAAGGAATTGGTTTAGAGATGAATAATTATTAATTTTTAATTATTAACTGTCTTCAGCATGAGTGTTTGCTAATCTTGATAAACCCAACCAATTGTTGGTTCAAAGGTTTACACCCACGGCTATTTTGTCCAACCCGTC